GTGTCCGGAAACGAATGGGCAATACTTCAATGATAACTTTCTTGGACGGAAATAAACCGATTTAAATCAAGTTATCTTAGTACCGTTTAGTTAGAAGTTTATTTATCATAAAAAATAAATAAATAAAGTCTGTCAAAGTCATTTGTTTGTTCCGCGTGCCTCGTCCATAGCCACTGCGATCCGTCACACATAAATTTTCCTTCTCTATTTTCAAAAATAGTTTTAAACTGAAATATGCCAAAAAGTCCTGAATCAAACAGTAATATATTATATATTTTTGAAAAAAGAAAAATTTAACGAAACTAAGTATGCCCTAATATATAGGGTGTTCCATTAAACAAATTATTTTTTTCTTTAATTTTGTGATTTCCATTATTCAATTGTTTTTTCTAATACTGTATAAAAATTCATAAAAAAGCTATAACTTCTGTATTAAAAACTTTTTTGTAATTTCAATAATAAACTCACAATAAGTTGTCAGATTATAGTAACTAACCCTATACAGAAATTATTTGGATTTTATCTAAAGTAGTGGTTGTACTTGGAAAAGTTTTTAAAAATTTTACCTTTTTTTGCTCGCTTATAAAATAATACCTATAAAAATTATGACGTGTTTCATATCACCGGATTTGACGGTAATATTATCTAAATTAATTTGCATACGTGCGTTAGTTGAAAATTAACTGCAGATAAAAATTCCTTCCGCCAAACTTTAAACTGAATAATGAATTAGTCGAGGTAAAATATTTTTACTCTACTTATTTAACGAATGATCCTGTACGTATAAAATTTTTTTTATTCGTAGAAATGAAATATGAAAACCCCGAAATAAACTACAAATATTGGACGGCTTAACAGAAACGTCACAGAGGTATCTTCAAAGTGATTTGAAAACTTAAGCTCTGTTTAATTTCGCCCATTGTTATTGTACAATAACTTTTGTTACTTTGATAGTTACGAGAAATATTTTATAAATTTAATGATAGCAGCATACAGAAATAAATTTGCAGATTAAAAACTTTTTATCAGTGACAGATTTTAATGTAAAAGTTAATATCACAATATTTGCTATTATGAAATTTCTGTCGAAGTATTGTTTAAAAGTATGTATTTGCGGCATTTCCTATGTAGTTATTCTCTTTTGTTAATTTCGTCGCATTGGAAATAGAATGAAATAATAGTAGGCAATTTATTTATGTATAAATAATCATGAATAATATGTCTATACAATGACAAATTGGTATTCCTTGAACCGGTATTTTTAAATAAACTTTTGCTTCCTAAGATCAGTAGGGGCTGTTTTTAACAAACTTGTTGTTGCCTACTTCACAATGACTCATCATAACACATCGTCATTGTTTATATTTCCAAAATATTTCATTTTGTTTTCAAAACGATGACGTTATTCTGACTAAAACACCCAAAAGAAAAACTGTTTAAAAAACATCTCTTAATGGTACACAACAGACACAAACTTACCATTAACCACATAAGGGTTGTAGAAGTGCGGGGGGTAGCACAGCCTATCGCAGGGGTAGGGTTGGAAACTTCCCTCGCTGACCGACCTGTAGTAAGGGGGTTGAAGCCTGTTTAGAAGCGTCTGCTGAAGGATGCTCCCCTGCTGGTCGTTTTCAACCCTCCGATCTTCTCTGTCCTTTTCTGGTTTCTTGCAAGAGCCACAGGTCGCGTCGTTTTTCAAAAGGTTCTCGATTCTGAACGGCATGACGGCTACGTCGCGATTTTTCAATCGCCCGGCGTATAAGCGAAAAGCCAACAGGAAAATTTTGGAACGTGGCGCTTCAATTGGAACCGTGATAGAGCGGTCTGTAAAAATACTAATAATGTTGTCGCGAATCTGATTACTAGAGCGGTCTGGATCAACATGAGCGTCGCTCTGAGGGTTTTGATTTGACTTAGTTGGATTCCGTAGGATCTCCGCTATCTGTGTGTGCCTCGTTGAGAAACGCTATGATTTCGCATTAGAATAAAAATAACGTCTTGGAGCAACAAAACAAGCTCTATGTCATAGACCATTGAATGGACTTGAATCTACTATTGCTTTAATTATATTTTCTTCGCATTTTGATTGATAATATGCTATTTTACTAAATTCAAAATCTTTTACTACAGTGGCACTTTACCACATGAAATGTCACTTTACTATACAAGCTGTTACAAATTCGCTTCTCACTACAGGGATCTCGGAAACGGTAAGAGATCTTAAATGGAGGCAAAGTTGCGTAATCAGGGGACCAACATTATGCCTCTAAAAAATCAAGGCTAACATGATAAGTTTTCGAAATATTTGAAAAAACCGAAATTTTGGAAATCCGTTTTTGTTTCATTTCAGCCTTGTTTGAGGTGATATTGGAAAAAAAATAACACTTTCTCATGGCAACTTTTAGAAATAACTCATTTAGAGGAAAAAAAAAGAAAATTGTTACCTGGACATTTATAAATGGAAATGGAAAAGGGGCTTATAATAAACGAAAAAAAAAAATGCATGAGCAGGGGCGGCGGAGGGTTGATTTGGGCTGAAAAGTGAAAAATTGTATCATTGGGATTTCTGTCGAAAGTTGACATCGAACAAAAAAGTATCCAATACTAACGTAGTAGATCATGCAAAAATCTACAACTTTTGTGCGAAAAACAGTTTTTTTTCTGATTTTTCGTTTTTTATTTCTCATTTCTGCAAAAATAATTTAATTTTAACGTAGCTTGGTGAAAGTATACCTTTCTGTGTCTTAAACAACCACACATTTTTTTAGATAAAAAAATCAAGAAGTTTCCGAGATATTAATTTTTTCCAGTTTGAAACACTTTTTTTTTCAAAGAAAAATTCTGCTTAGAAATATCATCGTACAGGGTTCTGCCGGTAATTATTATTTTCGTTTTGACATATACTTTTTGGTGAAATAAAAAAACTGTAATCACAGTTCAAAAACATGCTCAAAAATGTAAAAAAATAAAAAATTACTTGCAATAATGAGTTTTTCAGTAATTGTTGATAATTTGTTTAACTTAAAAAGCATTCAAAAACTGATTATACCATTTAATTCTACGGAAAAAATAAAAAAAAACTATCATTGTTTGACCCAAAACTTTATTTTTGTACAGTATTGCTATAAACATAAGACGAATTACAAATGTACAAATGATACATTATCTCTGGATGATTTTAGATTTCAGCAATACAAAGTAGGTATTAACTGCAAAGTCTACTGTTGACGCGAAACCCGAAAACCCGAAATTTTGCAAAATCGTTTTATTTTTTCTGGCTTTATTTGACAACGAATTTTAAAATAAATTGCATATTTACACTGCCACTTTTTTTGCTCTATCCCATGACGTCAACATTTGCAATCCGACATTTCGTCTTCGTGGGGCTTCATCAGATAATTTTTTTTAAATATGTCGCTGCTATTTTTAAGACAAAAACTAAAGTAATTTTTAATTCTGAATTAGATGATATTACTATTGTAATCGCTTAAAAACGTTTTTAGCTATCATTTAAAATTTTTCCTGAGTACGGCTCTGAACGCTTTCAAAATATCTATTGGATGAAGTCATAATAGTATAAAAGTCAATACCGCACAAAATATCCATCAATTTTTTTTACTGCCATTACTAATTAGAAATAATAAAATATTTCATAAATTCGTATTTTTTTATTAGGTACAACTTTTTAAATTATTGATTAAAAAAAAATTACAATGAAATTTGGGCAATTAAAGTAACTCATGGTAATGTTCATTGCCAGTTTAAACCGATATTCAATATGCCTGGAGAATACAGGAGCAGACAAAAGTATCCATTTAAATTTATACATCTTTGACAGCGTTGTCAAATTTAGCATTTTTCTTTCACAGTTCGATTTCTCTTTCACTTTGCTAAGAAAAAGGTATACTCTATATCAGTCGATATCTTGTGCCGTTTTTGAGAAAATCGAATTTTATTAACCTCCATGTACAGGGTGATTCACTATATTTTGACCCCCATTTTAACTTTTTTGTTTTAAGAGTTATAAAAAAAATGTAAAATACAAAAGATGCACGATTTTTTATGAATTTTACGAAAATGACATTTGAAAAACAAATGAAGTTCAAACAAAATGGCCACGGATATTAACTTTGTTAATTTAAATGTAACACCCTGTATATTTTTACATATTTGGATGGAACGTTCTCTGTCGAGCACAAAAGTAGAAATATTATTAGGAATTCAAATAAAGTAAAGATAATTCCTAATAATATTTCAAATTTCTACTGCTATGTAACCTATCTTAATTAAATAATAATACAAACTTTCAATCAATAACAATGTTTTCATGACATTAGTACCTGTCACTATCACGGCCTACCATATAACATTGTCCATGAGTAATTAGGCCTCTCACGGCCTAATTAGTAAGATTTAGTTAAAATACTTAATTTTGAACCATATCAACTAAATCTGTAAATAATTACGTAATTGGAAAAAAGGCAGAAATACCTGAAAGAAGTCTAACAATTACAAGATATCTTATTTTCTTTATAAAAAAAACTTCTTTTCTTTTTTAATAGTATTTCCCTTATTGTTAGAGATGGACTCAACAAACCCTATATGACTATGCTCGACAGGGAACGTTCTATCCAAATATGTAAAAATATACAGGGTATTCCATTTAAATTAACAAAGTTAATATCCGCGGCCATTTTGTTTGGACTTCATTAGTTTTTCAAATGTCATTTTCAAAAAAATTCATAAAAAATCGTGCAACTTTAGTATTTTATATTTTTTATCTCTTAAAACAAAAAAGTTAAAGGGGGGTCACAATATAGTGAATCACCCTGTACTGTATCAAAAATGCGATATTAACATTTTTGCAAATTGAAATGACTGTCAGCAAGTATATATAATTAGCAGTTAGATATTTGTCATAAATCTTTTTGACACCATTTGTTGACTCAATATCATGGAGGATTTTAGCTATGAAGAATTTGCATATATTTATCTAATGTACGAACTTGCAGAATGTAATGTTTCTGAAGCTGTTTGGATTTACGTCACCGCTTTCCAAATAGAGAAATTATGGAGAATTACCTGTCTTGGGGACAGTCAGTAGCGTTTTTCTCAAAAAAACGGTGCGATTTTAGTAGAAAATAAAATTTAAAAAGGGACTAACCTCAAAAAAGCTGTTATAAAAAGTCTCTTGGTGACTAGCGACATCTAGCAGATGGGCCAAAATTAATTATGCCGATTTTGTTGCATCATAGATATGCACCACATAATTTTTTTGTACATCTTTTATTGTAGTCTACTGGCGTATAAAAAAATAACCAATACATAGGTATTTTTTCCTGTATAAAAAATGATGTATCTGTTATAGCTAAAAACATAAATCTAACCATCAGGTTGTCACTCAACTTTTGATTGTCTTTATTTAATCATAAAATCAATTTGTGGTACATCATTTCTAATATTTTATTATAATAGAACTGTATAAATTGTGCCTGGATGTGTTTTTGGTTGCCTTTCTCAGCTCTTATCTAAATCCATAAGTAATTNTCTGCCCGTCGCCCGTACCGGTATTATGACGTCAGGCAATGGTTGCTCAACGTTTTTCCGCGCTCTGTTTTCATTAATTTATTTCAGTCATTTCTCGTTGATACAAACAATTGATTTTTGGCATACTAACTAATTAAAGGGTAAACTTTTGAAATATGCAATAAAAAAATTTTACGGAATGGGCCTATTGACGTGTTTTAGCGTTTTTGTGAAAACTCAACACAAAATAAAATATGAATTTTTTGCGTTACTTCTGGGACGCACTGTACATATACGTATTGGTCAGTTCGATAAAAAAATCTGGGAACTCCGCTGAATCCACTTATCAAGTCGTAGTCCTCGATTGCTTCCTTTTCAGCTAGATTAAACTGCCGTGGACACCGCATCTTCCATAGCTGTGGCTTTTTGACATGTTTTATTTTATCAATTTATTGTGCATTATTAAGATAAGGGCGTAATAGCCGGCGAAACCGGAAGCGTTTATTTTTAAATTTGGGTTTTTCTCGTCGGTTCGCATTGTTAGCGTGTCTGAATTCAGGTTCAGAGAAATATTGACATCCAGATTCATTCTATCCTGCATTTGGACGTTCTCCTAAAATTGTGGGCAATGTCAACAATTAGATGTCCTGTATATCTGTTGGTACTATCGTGTTACTACATATTTTTTGCGGTCATGTTTATTTATGCTTTAGTACACTGAAGACCGTGCGCACTGCAGTAGATTAATCACGATAAACTTTTAATTTGGATTAAACAGAAATTTTATTTTGCACCCTACCCATTACCACGTGTACTATACACACCTCAAGCTTCTTTGTTTGGTGACGTCACTACTTGTGGTATGACAGAAATCGACGCGCGCATTGTTGTTAGATTAATTTATTTATTTCGGTAACAGTTACAAGAGTAATTAAGCTGTAAAACCCAATAGTTCCATGTACTCGTATAATTGTTGAATATATATGTGCTTATTCTAAAACTTCCCTTTATTTAAATCAGGTTGTAAGTTTGAGGTTAGACTGAGGATATACTCTCGAGTTAATGGCGCATTTTGATGTTGGAGAAGAGAATATCTTATAAAAATTAAAGAGTTTCGGAAGCAAGGAAAGAAAATTTATTATACAGATGAAACATGGGTCAACGAGGGTGGAAAAAGTATGGCAGGATGAAAACGTGAAAATTGCACGGCAAGCAGCTATTGAAGGCTGGTCAACGGGCTTAAAATGCCATCTGGAAAAGGTAGCCGTTTGATAATTGCCCATATAGGAAGTGAATACGGATTTGTGTTAAATGGTGAATTAATATTTCAATCCAAGAAAACGGGAGACTATTACGAAGAGATGAATGCAGAGGTGTACGAGAAGTGGTTTGGACAAATTATTGAAAATTTGGAACCAGGATCTGTCGTCGTTATGGATAATGCCTATTATCATAGTCGAAAATGCGAGTTAACGCCACAACAGTTATGGAGGAGATGATTACGGGACAAGGGTGTTCCTTATGATGAAACCAGCTTAAAGGCAGAATTGCTTCAGCTTGTGAAACTACGTGCCCATAAATATAAGAAACTCACTGTGGATGAATTAGCACTAAGCCTTGGAATCACTGTACTAAGATTGCCTCCTTATCATTGTGAACTAAACCCAATCGAGTTAATTTGGGCATAAGTTAAAGAGGAAGTGGCTCGAGAAAATAGATCATTTAAATTGGCTGATGTTCAACGCCATCTTAAGAAAGCACTAGAAAACATTACAACAGAAGACTGAAGAAAGAAAGAAAGAAATCACGCTGAGAAAGAGAAAAAGAAAATATGGGATGTAGATGATAATACGGTTCATCAAGTCATCGATTATTTTATTATCAATGTCGGTAATAGTGATGATGATAGTGATGAGTGACAATGGAGTACCGGAAACTGACTGGGCGATTGTCTTTAGATGCGGTATTATTTTTGGAACTGATAGAAGAAAATTTTAATTTTGTTAATTTATTTATAGGTATTATTAATGTTTTCAGCCACGAAAGTTGAATAATTCCAAATATTTCGAATTTTCAACACCAAGAACGACGGTGACAACATTTTTAATATTAAGGCGATGTTTCGTATCGTAATAGCTATGTCCTCTCCAAATTTGGTTTCGTGCAACTCTCTCGGTTTCAAAAATACAATACCTATGTATGTTTTCAGCCACGAAATTTGGATAATTCCAATTATTTTGAATTTTCACCACCAAGAACGGCGGTGACAACATTTTTAACATTAAGGCGATGTTTCGCATCGCATTAGCTATGTCCTGTACAAATTACGGGTTTTTAATGTGCAATTGTTACGTTTTTTCTCATGATTTTTGTGTTATTACTTGAAACATTTTTTATTTTGTTAATGTTAGAATGTTGTTTACTGGAGAGTTGTTAATTTAATGTGGAAAATAGGGCTACTGGCGAACTACCCACTATAAAAGAATGGTAAGGCACCATAAGCAACACTTCATGACTGGTATGGAAACATGCTTTTATTTATAACGTTCTCTCATAATATCGTTTAGTAGATTTTTAAAATATCCATCATATTAAAGAGAATACTACTTTCTTGACCCCTTCAGAAAAGAAAATCGTATCCGCAAATGTTTCAGATCGATACTGCTAAATATTTTGGACTTCAGAAATAAACAGAATAGTTGCGCGGTGAACGCCTTCTAAAAAACATTGCCTTCGTTGAGCGCGAACATCAACCTTGGACCATACAACGTTTAGCATAAGTAAGTGACGCAGATGGAAATCAGTCTGTATTCTGCTTCTCTCCGTAGCGTTGTTTACGGCGGTTGTCATGGCAACGAGGCGGCCAACTCGGGATTAAACTACGGCGTGAGGGAACGAGTGACGCAGAAATTGAAGCAGCATCGCCCATCGTCTGCCTTTAACAGTTTATACGACACGCGTCGCCCAGTGCACCATTATAACGGATTATAGTTAATATTTGTTTTGTATAATAACTGTAGAAATGTTTCCTATGTATGATCCAGTATGTATTTTATTGGAAACGCCATTTTCCAGATGGAAAATTGAGGACAAAAAGGATTTTTTAAATTCCGAGAGACCTGTGGCTTATTCTCTCGATATTTTTTTTTCTCTTCAGTCAATCAATGAATATGCTTCACCTATAAGGGGACCGCCTAGCCGGGTGTCTTGGCTGGTGGATTTCGATCTGCCGAGGCAAGCATCACGGACGCAGGTTGGAATTTGGATGGGTGACCTAAGGCAGGCTCGGGGTCGTGGCTGTGGCAGTCTACCAGAAACCTGGGTCGCCCATCATTTTCCGCATGCGTGTGATCCCCGATAAATGATAATGAGAACAGAGCAAAGAAAATCTCTGTAACTCAAGACCATGCTATCATACATAAACTGTACGAGACTTTGCCACCAAGCCACCCGTGTAGTAAATAGGATGGTTTGAAGAAAAGTACCCGAGTAATGAAGGAGGGTGTACAAGGGGCCTAATAAGGCCTAAGTGCCGCGGTGGAAAAACAATTCCACCACCCTCCGACATACATACATACATACATACATACATGCTTCACCTATTCTCAATGTCACGAGCCGCCACTCGGTTAGAGTAAGGTGAATATTTTTTTTTTAATGCATAAACATCAACAAATGTGTAACACCGAAGATTCAGAACGTACAATTTCTTGAATACAATAATTTTTGAGATTAACCACTGGTTTAGCTTCAGTAGTACTAAAAAAAATTTTTTTCGAGACATTTTCAAATTAATTAAAACGGCAGTGAGACAAGAAAGATTAAGCGGTTTAGCAATACTCAGTATAGGAAAATTAAAAGTTACTGATCAATTCGTATCTCAAAAAGATTTTTTGGGTGATGAGAGAATAAAACACCAGAGCGCACATTTAAAATCAATTTATTTAAAAACTTTAGAAATCATCTTCAATTGAACTACAGAACAAATGAAACTAGGTAAAATTAATCTCTACAGCAATATTTTTTGGTACAACTAGAGCACTCGTCCGAAACGAACAGAACTTTTCCATTGCCGTAGAACGTGCAGGAAAAAAGAATAAAATATTCCTTGATGTATTCATTTCAAATCTCGCGCTCTAGGACTCCGAATCGTCCCCAAACGCAACACAAAAATATCCGCCGACATCACAATTAAAAAAAATATATAGAAATCAATATATCGCCGAAAATTACAAATAGGATATAATTCTGGATGTATAAATGGTAAAATTTCATAAATAACATTGAAACAATTATCTATATTGATTATATACAAAGTGTACATTTAAAAATAACTATATTTACGACATGAAATATCAAGAGCACTTAAGTTTCGCTTCTTAAAATTTACTTTTTTTACATTGAGCTGTCTTCATTGGTACCTTACAGTAACTTTAAAACAATAGACACACTTAGGATTCTGGTACATCATGGTTAACTTTCCGGCTTCCCTCGGGGTTCACTTCATATATTTACATACTTAGGCGGTACATCTATTTATGTTCGATCAACTAAACTGCCGAACCGGAAACTCCGGCGATCCACGCGGCCTCCATTTCGCCCGCCAAATTTTTAATTTGCTTACCTTTAAATGTAACCGTTCTCGGGAGAAAGAGTGGGGGAGAGCGGGGAAAAGTCGCGGTGTGGATCGCCGCAGCCTCCTCGGCCTAACGGTATCGGTAAGTAAAAAACGACACGAGAACAATGAAGACAGATTTTTGTTTTTGTATTATTTACACTATAGCTTGAATTTCATTCTACTGTTTCTCAACATGCAGTCCGTTGAGGTTTGGGCGTGATCAGGTTGTGGCCCTCTGAACTGTCGGAGTCGCTCGAGTCGCCGTCGCTGACCGCCACCACGTTGTAGTTGCACGTGACCTTCGGTTTCTTTATCGACACCCTGCTGTAGCCCCTCTGCTGCACTTGCATGCTGTTCCGCTGAAAGATCGATCACAATGTAACATTTGCTATTCTTACTAATGATTTTGTGAGAAAGACCAACAGTAGAATCACCAGAGATCGATTTCGAACCTACTATGTCACTTTGCCAGTAGTCATTTACGACATCCAGTGTGAAATTTAACTCTAAACTTTTTTTTTACTTACAGTCGTATATATCTCTTACCTGAAGTATGATGAAGATCGTGATGAAAAGTATAATTATGCACAAGCACGCGATTATTGCTACTCCGGTGATAAAGTTGAAGGGGTTCACTATTTGGAGAGTTGATACGGGTTGCGCAGACAAAAGCAATGCTTCCACGTTGATCTTCCTCTTGCCCTCCTGCATTTTGCAACCTGGAATAAACGATTCGTTTAATTTACGCTTTGCCTTTAGCTGAAAGTTAGTCATTTACCTGCACAATTTCGACAGGAGTAATGGCACTTCTGACACCCGTATTCGGTTTTGTAGTAGCCTTCCGGGCAGTCTGGCCTGCACTCGCCCGATAACAGTTGCCAACCGTTTGGGCAGCTCACGCATTGGTCCGGTCCAGGCCCGCTGCAGGTCTTGCAGCTCATGTAACACCTCATGCACAGTCCCTTATCGCTGTAGTACCCGGTGGCGCAGGCGGCACGGCACTCGCCGCTCTGAAGCTGTAAAAAAAATCATTCAGTCTTCATTCGAAATCGTTTAAGGAAAGACGATACCCGCCAAATTAGTAGGCAGAGTCAACAATAAGTTCCTAATCTGATAGAATATTTTCGGGTATTCTTTGCATGTATATTGTAATGTGCTGTTTATTTCGCATAGTGTTCCGATAATATGTTCTGCCTCAGCGCACGCGTTTAGAACGTTCTATTGTTATACGCAAGTAAGAAAGAAGATAATGGTATCAGAGCAAGATAATTTTTGTTTCCAGGCATACCTGTAGGCCGGTTTTGCACTCCGTACAGTTGGTCTTGGCGAAGCATCTGGAACAGGTGTGCAAGCAGGGCTCGCACAACTGATTATCCCTCTCGCTGAAGAAGCCCTTGTCGCACTTGCCCACGCACTTGGTGCCCTGGAGGATGAGCGGACTGGCGCACGACAGGCAAGCCTTTTCCGTGGGCCCGTCGCATGAGTCGCAGGTGGAGTGGCAGGGTTTGCAGTTGCCGCTATCGAAATACTGGTCTGAAACGAGTCAGGGAAGATTTAGTTATTCGTTTTCTAGAGTCGTAGGAATCGACTTACCGACGTCGCAGCGGTCGCTGTTCTGCGACACGCACCGGCCCTTAGCGTTGACCTTCCAGTCGTCCAGGCAGGAGATGCAGGTGGTCTTGTTGCACTCGCTGCAACCCGGAGGGCATTCGATGCACTCACGCTGGTACGTGTCGGCGTAGTGGTGGGCGGGACACTCCTTCACGCAGCGGCCCTCGTGCCAGAAGTGTCCGAACGGGCAAGAGATGCACTGGGAACTGTTGGAGCCGCTGCAGGTCTCGCAGGACTCGTGGCAGCTGGAGCACCTACAAAGAAAGTGTATTGTTAAGGAATTTTTTACTAAATTAATAAACTTCTGTTGCTTTTGCAATAAGCGAACAAAGCGCGTGTCGGCTTCTGTCACTTAGCATTAGAGACTAACTAAACCACTAATAGTGACGTCATTCCTTGATGACGTGTCGGTTGTGAGGTTTTATAATGTATGTGGTAATAAATAAACCTTGTATTCGTGCAATGGGACTCCTTGCGATTGCAATAAAATTGTGTAAAACACTATCTAAATGAGCAAACCAACGGAATTATGTACTTACCCGTAGTCATCGGTCTCGTACGTGTTTGTAGGACAGGAAGCCAGACATCTGTTCTGGTAGAGCAGGAGGTGGTGGTCGCAGCTTGTGCAACGATCAGGGCGGTCCTGACAACCGGCGCAGTTCGGGTGACATGGGATACAGGTTTTGTCCGCGAAATCTGGAAAGGGAGGGTTTACAGTGTAGACAGCTACTACGATGTACGAGTGCGTGAAGAACCCACATTTATTTTTATTCTTTTCCAAATAACGTATGTGTAAAATTTCGAAGTATTCTAAATACGTCGAAGACTTTGAAAACCTCTCTATAACGTCGAAATATCTTGAAACTATTTTAAAATATTTCGAAACACCTTCAAACGTATCAACATAGTATCACCATGGTTGAAAATGTGTAAAATAACTTCAGAGTAAAGCAAAATTTTTCAAAACAGTCTTAAAATTCATAACAATTTCAAAAGAGAGCTTTTCTAAAGGAGGTAAAAACTGGATTAAATTGATGGGACTTTAAAGTACACCAAACAAGTTCTGGAATGCATAAAAATTTTTTAAAATCAAAGGCCAAGTTAATGGAGCACAAAATCCAAAGGTCAGTGACCGAATGTCAAAGGTCAATAGAGATCAGAGAAAGGTCAATTATCGGAGATCAAATATCGGTTAACGAAGACAAAAGGCCAATGATCGGAGACAAAAGGTTGATAACTGCAAACAAAAAGTCAATGACCGGAGATAAAAGGTTAATGGCCAGTGACAGAAAGTCAATGATTGGTGACAAAAAGCCAACGACCGGAGGCAAAAGGGCAATGTCCGGACACCAAAGGTCAATCGTTTAGAGCTAAACGTCAATGACGTAGGATCAAAGATCAATTTCTTATGGTCAATGATCTCAAAGGATTCACGAAAGATTTGACAATAATTCGATGTATTTCGAAGTTGTAAGGTATTTGGAATATTTACAAGTATTTTGAGGTAATTATAGTAGTTCGTAAAATGTCAAGTTTTTCGCAGTATTCTGAAGTATTTTCAGATTTTTTTTTATATATTTCATTGGTACATTTTCTTTTATCAAAATAACTTCTAAAAGTCTCCAGTTAATTTGAAAAAATCTTCTAGGAGAATTTCTACTAATTAAAAACATAAATATATACATAGTTTCCCGCCATTATAGGGTTGCCTGTAGTAAAAACGCTCTAGGACGATATCGATGTTTCATTTTCATAATATTATCTATAAAAAATAGCACTCACACTTAATAACGGTCCGCGAAAGCAAAATATCGCCCACTTCTACCCGTAAGAGCACCGCCGGGTGAATTATAGAAAACCTTCCACCTTCAATAAGCCATAATGGACCGGGAGCGTACCTGTTATCCAACAAAACGTCCCGATAACGGCCGTAAACGGCTACTTACTCTCATAATACCCCTCGGGGCATTGTTGCAGGCATATATCCAGATCGATAACTCTCACGTGCCCTGGGGAGCAAGTGAGGCAGCTCTTCTGATCGGGCCCCGTGCACGTCTCGCAGGCCTCGTGGCACGGCTGGCAGATGCCCTGGGTGTCCGAGTAGCTCCTCGGCGGGCACGACGACACGCACGTCCTACAATGAAAAATAAATAAATAATAAATAAAATGAGTGGTGAAATAGAATTGCGATGACACAAAGCTATTTTATGGCAATCGTCATTTATGTTGAGGTTGCTAACGTAGACAGGGCATGTCTGTTTATACGTAAACTAGCAATCCGCCCCGGTTTCGCACGGGCAAATATAAAATAGCTTATGTTACTCCAAGGAGATGTAGCTTTCGGTAAAATTGGTTGAGTAGTTTTTGAGTTAAATCGTAACAACAAAAAATCAATCATCTTTCATCTAATGCGACCCTAATATTAATATTAAAATAATTCACGATATATCTATACCTAAAGACAACAAATGAACTCAAAACTAAAAATTCAAAACCTTTAAATTTAAAACAATATAGGTAACTACCAACAATGTGAAAACAAAATTAATTAAATTAAAATACCTATGTTCAGGACTATCAATTTTAATTAATAAGTAAGTAGTTAGGTATCTAACTACCTAAAGAAAACAAACACGAAACAAAAATGCGACTAGGTTTTAAATGATTCACAATAAGAAAAAAAAACAAACAAATTGTTAAAACTCAATTAAATAAAAGTATGTTTGCAAGAATCTATGTATGTTCCGACTACCTAAAGACAACAAATACAAAACAAAAATGTGACCTTAAAATATCGAATTATAACTTATTATAACGCAATTATAACTTTCCAACAACACCAAGAAAGAGAACACAGTTGTCAGTCGTCACCTCTATTCACTCCAAGTCAGTTTATTAAAGGATCACGCGCGCGTTATCGTTCGGCTTATTAGCTAAACAGTAGGCAAGATGGTGCGGGGGGAGGGTCGGCGATCGCATCAAGCAAAGCGAGGCGCTTGAATTTTATTCTCGCGTCCGTAATTTTTTTGTACTCCTAAGATATTCATTTAAATTATATGGTGTAAAAGAGTAAAATAATGTGCATGAAATGCTTAAAGCCTCTAACTTATTTAAAATGATAAGGATTAATACCGTATTTGTGTAAATAGCTGTGACAATTAAACTGATGCTAGGTCAAATACGACAATATAGGTACTTGAATTTATTATTGTCTATTCTCCAGGTCCAAAATAATAAGCAGTATAGTTATTTTCCTAACAAGTACGGAAAGTAGTACATTTCCGCAAGCGATTGCCATTAACAGAACAACGCGACGGAAAAATAAAAAATGGATAACTCGAACTTATATCCAGATTATTTTTGATTTTTAGTATTTTCACCACTGTGTATTTGACTTACAACCTTGCTAAATTCCGGAGAACATCCCAAAAATACCTGTTCTTTTATACTATTTACACGCTTTTCTTGGCACCAATTCGTAAACAGCGCGTATTCATATATTTCTAAATGTGGCAGCCAATAAACTCAAATTTGCGAATTTTGCTTCTTGAAAAGATTTCGGTAGATCCTTATTTTAAATATTAATTTCAAAACGTTTTTTTACAACTTTTACTACTACTTACAGTTTTCATAAACAGATGGACTCGTCCGAACTGTATTTTGCCAATACAAACCGCTACCGCACAGATGTGTGCGAGAGAGATAAAGGTAGTGCGGGCAAAAGTCTAATGCGGTATTCACTAAATTTCGATTGTAGCGACCTAAATTTAATTCAGTCAATCATCGAGCTGTAGTCGCCTCGTACTACCGCTTGAAGTTAAAATTATTTTAACTGCATTTATATGCAATGGCCACATTATGTGAAAATAAGGTCTATGCTCTAAAATGGTACGCCCATGGAATCGCATTTTCCGCACGCTTATTGCAGGGTCTAGATGCTGAGAATTAATGGCTTATTATTTGGAGTTATAGATCATTTACAATAATTATAAGAATAACATTATTTAAACAAATTACTCAACATGATCCTGCAAAGAATTTTCAATAATACTGTTGAAGATTTACGGTAAAATACTTACTTGTCCATCCTCTTGTTCCTGCAAGCTATACACTTGGTGGACCCCCTTCCAAAGCAGCCCTGGTCGTCGCACTGCTCGTCGCAGTTCTCCTTGGTCTCCTCCTCCGCATCGACGTTGTTGTTAACGTTATCGCGCACCTTCGTGTTCTTACCATCCAACGAACTTATGGCCACCTCAGGATCGGAACCAGCGAACGCGTAGACGTTCCCGAAGTTGTAGACGTCGGCATCGAAGAAATTGTCGGTAACCTGTGTGACAGGTTGGGATTGGGTGGGGAAGGTGAAGGTGTTCAGCGGAGACTTCCAAGGCGTGGATCTGGCCCCGTTGGTGGGTCGGAGTCTGACAGGATTCACGGAGGTGCCGTAGAAGATGAGCTGCCACTTCTTCAACACCCCGGGCTGGTTGACGTGACGGTTGCCCGCGTTGACTATCTGCAGGTGCCAGCGGCCCTCGGCTTTCTCGCCCCAGAAGTGGACGCTGAGGAACGGCCAGTCGTCGAAGTTGGAGCTGACGACGTCGCGGGGTCTCTCGAAGAGGAGGGTGGAGGTGGTGCCCATGGGGGAGGTTAGGAGGATCCTTAGGTTGCCGCGAGGGAAGAATCTGAGGGAGATTTTGCATTGGACGTGTTCGAGGAAGCGGACCTCGTTCAGAGTGCCGCTGCACGCGTCGACGTCCATGAAGAAGTCCAAAGCGGTGCCTGTGGAATTGACACAGTTCTTACCACTTTTCTAGATACATTGCAGGTAATATTTGTACAGGAGGTAAGTTTAAGTGGGGGAGTCACTTTTTTAGGGATAATATTAGGTACGTGTTCCTCTGTGGGCGGTGTAAGGCCACCCGGAATTAGCGTGGTAAGTTGTATTAGTGCACTATCAGCGTTGCGTTAACCTACATTGTGCAAAGTTAAGTGGAAAATAATTTAATAATTTATATTAATACGTTACTAACTGTAAATAAAACTAATTTATATTTTAAAATATATTTTACTTTTTAAAAAAACGTAGAAAAAAATATCTGTTTTTAATCCTATGTGAAATATATATTTTTTAATACCGCTTCAAGTTTTTACGAAGAATTATGTGTTACTATTTTTTTTAAATAGGTAAGTATTTAATTTGAATGTCATTATCAATAATCACCTATGATATTGACCTAGTAGTTTAGTTGAACTATATTTCTGCCACTACTTAAAGTAGATAAGAATGTATTTAGGAAAGTTAAAACAGGTAATATTAAAAAGTCATAAAGTTCTAAACAAAATACGGTATGTTTCTACTCTTTGTTCCTTCTTCAACCATTTCAGCGACCAATCGGTGCTGTACATATTAAATTAATCCAAAATAAACCAAACATCAACAAAATTAAACCTTGAACAGTTTAAATTTAAGCAAAATTCGACCCTGTTCCGGATGCTTACGAAAGGCAACGGAGGTTAGTTTCCCCGGTTGACTTCACATTTATGACGAGAGGCTTAATTGTAATAATTATAGGCGGTGATGATCTAATATTTCGTGACTTACCATAGGCCGGCTGGATTTGCCTGTCCTCGACGATCTCCTGGCTCTTGCAGATGTGCTGGGGCGGTACGGTGGTCCATTTCTCGGCAAGAGTAACCAAAGCGCCAGCGTCCATCAGGCCGTAGCCGAACTTGTGTGACACCTTCCTCCGTACGCCGTTTACGATCCAGCCGGATTCCTTTTCCAAGGGAGCTGGCCTGGAAGTGAGCACCACTAGGTACTGCATGTCCCTCCAGGTCAGCGTGGGGTTGGCTTCTAGGGCTAGGGCGCATATGCCGGCGGCTGCAAGCGCGGAAAGTTGTAAATAACAGATTCGCCGCGAGTTACATCTCTAAATGATAGTTTAAAAATAAAAATCGACGTGTCCCAGCATGTTTTAGAAAATCACAATTTTAACGAACGAGGGAAATAGATTACGTAAAATCAAAATAACGTTCTCATCTAGTGCTCGGTGAACCATCCTTCTGATGTAGTGACCTAATTTTGTCAAAGATCTAGATTTGTTTTGACTAAATAATTAAATTTTAACAGTAATATTTGTTATTTGCGTCACCTATTTATAGGTATATGTAGTAGCACCAGTGCCATCTAATGATTACTATAACTAGTTCTTTGTATTCAATTAGAATAAAAGCAAAAATGTACACTAATGCGTGAACTAAGCATCCCTGATTTTATGTCTTACACGAAATTTAAAACACGATCCCAATCAATAAAATGTCGTATTATTGTCCTCACGGTTGTGCGAATATCAATTCATCGCGACTTTTCATTATGCTCTGCTTTGATGCTGATACAGTCGCATTTTACAGCACGTGATTCGTCTACGGTTCCCAGATGGGAAAGCTCCGAATCGGGCTTATTTTTCGCATCTGTACCTTTGAAGAATGGAGTCGTGGGTGTTGACGTTCAAGTCACTTTTAAACTTTGAAAAGGATTCGTTATTAACAACAGGAATAGTATTGTATAGGAACTGTTAGGTTTAAAAATGATGGGTGGTAATAAAATGAACTTTTGGAGGGCGAGAAAATTACAATTAGACCAGGCGGGATCTGTTTTGGTGTAGATGTTTTGTATAGTATCGCTAATTTTTGCCTTAATGGCTTCAAAATGATATAACAAAACGTAATTTAACTTTGCGAACGCTTCAAAATGTGTGCTAAACTTATTATTAAAGAAATAGTGAAAAAACTGGAAAAAAATTTCATTTTTTTCCATTTTTTTCAGCACAGTTCAAAAACTATTAATTTTAGAGAAAAATTGAAAAGGAAAAAAAAAGATTCGTAATTAAATATTACACATGATATACCTATTTTCAGATAAAAAATACAACATAATTATTGCAAATATAGCAAAAACAACAAAAAAAATTACAATATTTTTGCGATTTTCTTAAAAGTACTTATATTATAGGTAGGATCTTCATACTTGGCCAAAAAAATCTTTTTGATATAATAAAACATCACACCAATTTTCGTTAAAATTGGTCCGATAGTTTTCGAGTAATAATTTTGCAATCCAGATTTTTGAAAAGAAATTGAAATTTTTACAAATTTAACTGAGGCTGAATTAAGACCTCTTGATACTTGAAAATTTTATCACATAAAAAAGGGCACTCAAACTTTAAAATGCGTCCAGAAAAATTGAAATCCGTTAATTAGGAGAGTCGTGGTAATTGTTTAAAGATATGCGTAATTTTTGCGCTTATAGACAAATAGAATAACTTTATAAACAATTACCACGGTTCTCCTAATTAACGGATTCCGATTTTTCTGGACGCATTTTAAAGTTTGAGTGCCCTTTTTATGTGATTTTCAAGTATCTAGAAGTCTTAATTTAAGCTGTTAAATTTACAAAAATTTCAATTTATTTTCAAAAATCTGAATTGCAAAATTATTACTCGAAAACTACCGGACCCATTTTAACGAAAATTGGTGTGATGTTTTATTATGTCAAAAAGATTTTTTTGGCCAAGTATGAAGATCCTACCTATAATATAAGTACATTTATTTTTGTAAAAACCGCTAAAATATTGTAATTTTTTTCACTTTTTTGTTGTTTTTGCTATATTTGCTATATTTGCAATAATTATGTTGTCTTTTATTATTTGAAAATAGGTCTATCATGTGTAAAATTTAATTACTAATCTTTTTTTCCTCTTCAATTTGTCTCTAAAATGAATAGTTTTTGAACTGTGTCGAAACAAAGAGAAAAAAAATGGAATTTTTTTCAATTTTTCTCACTATTTGTTTAATAATAAGTTTAGCACACGTTTTGAAGCGCGCGCATATGTTTTGTTATATCATTTTAGAGCCATTAAAGCAAAAATTAGCGAGACTATATAAAACATCCAGAAATGGGTATTTTAAAACAGATCCCGCCTGGTTTAGATTAGCTTCGAATAATTTGAAGTTGTGTATACATAATCGAACTTTTTGAATTACGTGCTAATGGATATATTTAGTGATTTGTGGTTGGCAGCATTGGGTTGCGCATAACCTCTTCTATAACCGCATGTTCTTGGACTGTTGTTATCTCATTTAGTTTTCGTGATAATGTTATTTGAGTGCATGTTTAAGTGTTAGTGACGATGCAACTTCTTCTGTTATTTTTGTTTACGTTAATCTCATGCAGGTCAATTTATTTTCAATTTGAATATGACATTAAAAGTTGTAGAAAATCAAACGAATAATGTGTTCGGAAAAGGATAGTCTCAGTCTTTTTTCTTCTTTCAATTTCAATTTTAATCCATTATTATCGTTCAGTTTTACGAAACAACTAAAATGCAATTATTTTACAATTTATCCAATTATTTCGGAACAGACTAGATACTTCATAATGGTTTTAAAATTGGGGGAGTCACGTACATTCAATATTTATGACAACATAATTTATTAAATCTAGAGGCTGAAATTTAATGCTACTCTCACTGGAAATATTTTAATATTACCGGAATAATGTCGCATGTTGCAGGTTATTGAGTAATCGCGTTACTGAAAATTTAGTTGAGAAGTTGTAAATTTGGCTGCTTTTAGATATGCTTAAGACATGATGGCCTATATATGCATTATTCTAAAAAGTATAGAAAGTACATTAGATACTTATTTCTTTTTATGGTTTTAAAATAATTTCCTATGAAGTTTTCTTGAAAACAAAACATGCGAAGGACTTTTTTATCATTATAATAGCTAAACACTGTATTTCCTTGGACACTCAACAAAACTTACCTAGAGGAGCAGATGCCGATGTACCCGTATGTTCCACTGTGCAGATATGATCAGGACGTAGTCTAGCGTCCATGTCGACTGTGGCGACGCTTTTATCGTGTCCCGGTGTTCCTGAGCTGTAGGTGGTGGCGAGAGTTGAAGAGCATTCTTCCAAATACCAAGGCTTATACCTGGAAGAAAATCGGAAATGACACTTTGATATCCCCTAGTGTTATCTCTGCCGAAACTTATGACACAAAAAGAAATAATGTACTGGGTGTTCCATTTAACATTCCCAGCGGCCTTTCCTATACGCTATAATATTGTTGTAGATGACGTTGTACAAAGAAATTTTTCGATCTCAGAAATAAAAATGTGTTAATACAAGTTTTTGACAGAAGTTTATCTGAAACACTTTACACAGATAGGCTAAAATACTATAAGTTTTTCGGTTTAACTGAATATTTATTAAAAAAATTAAATTAAACTTATTATTTTCTTTATTAAATAAAATAAAACTAGGTCATTTTGGCCTGTTTGATGTACTTTATAAAGTTATGAACCAGTTACATAATTCTGAATATCGACTTTCTATACAAACTATTGTAAAGAAATTAAAAAGAAATTTGATTATATTATATTTATATGAGAAGCAAGTTGTCGCACTAAATGACGTCACAATGAGTTTTTGATCACGTTACAAAATTTAAATTTTTACATAATTTTAAGACTACATAATATAGTTTTACTAGAAATTAAATTTTCATGCAAGTTGGCTATTGGTCAGTTTACCACACTTGAAATGAAAACGAAAAAATTTTTTTAAAAATAAATGAATAGATAAAAAAATTAAAACCATGTCACGATTTTGTTCAGAATATTTTCGTGAAGTAAATATTATTAACATTTCGGATTTTCTTAGTGTCCCGAAGACCTGTTAGAACTATGTATATTAATAGTAGATCAGGGCGGATCTGTCGAAATATCCCACTTCTTGGAAGTAAGAGGGAGCAAACTAATTTTTTCTGGATTACCATCAGTACAACTCACATAATAAAAGTGTAGATTCCTAGATCTGGGTGAGGTCCGGAACATTTTCAAAATTGCAAAAATGTTTAAAAAATTTAAAAAAAATACCTATTTTATCTGAGTTTTTTACTTATATCTTGGAACCTATGCATTTTGGAAGAATATTGAAGAGGAAACAAGTTTTAGAATTGAATTTTGCCTTTTTTTCATCCATTAATGCTATTTTGCAATATCGGTAATAAATTTAAACATTTTTACCTTATAGTATACGGGGTGTCCGGAAATACCGTTCGAATAATTCTAGGGGTGATTCTACATGTTAAACTATGAAGAAAAGTTCATATGAACATAGGTCCGCAAATGCGTCATAAGGTTGCTATGGCGATTCAAAGATTGCACCGGGATATAGGTTTTATTTTATATCTCTGGAACCGTTTCAGATAGCCATCTGAATTTTGGCATATGAATTGCCTTTAATAGTAGGTACTTTTCAGTGTTTTTACTAAATTATTATTTTAATCAGGGGCGTACCGACAGGGGAGGCCTCGATTTAATTTGTTCACATTTTTATTAAACGTCATATTTTTGCAGTTTTCTTTAGAAATTCTGATTCCGCGGTATAAATGACATAAAAAAGGTATTCTTGTAGAAAACCTGTCAGGTATTGTTAAATAGTGATAAAAAAGAAACGGTAAATGGAAAACAGATTTATAATTAAAAAAAAAACAGGGAACAATACAGAAACAAATAATACTAGTGACTTATTATTAAACCTGAATGTTACTTCTTTAGTTACAGCAAGTGTTGGAAGTGATGTCCATTCATTTCAATGCAACTGGCTAAACGATTTCTCATTGAACGTTTAACTCGTTGAAAAACACCTTGCATATTCCGTATTTCTTGGCAACAATGAATGACTCTTTGTTCCAGTTGTTGTACACTGTCAACAGGCACTGAATAAACTAAGTGTTTTAAATAACCCCATAGAAAATAGTCTAACGGATTAAGATCCGGCGAACGGGGAGGCCAAGCTACGGGTCCACCTCGTCCAATCCACCGATCTGGATAAGTCTGATTTAGATATTGTCGAACTAATAAACTGAAGTGGGCTGGAGCCCCATCGTGCATAAAAAATGTTTCTAATCTTAATCCATAAGGCAAATCTTCGAGCAAAACTGGTAAAGTGTTTTGTAGAAAATGTAAGTATGCGGGCCCATCTAAACGATGCGGCATAACATATGGTCCTAGTAACCTATTTCCTATAATACCTGCCCAAACATTAATGGAAAACTTATCTTGGAATCGAGCTTCGAAAATCGCGTGAGGATTTTCATCTGACCAAATATGATTGTTATGAAAATTTACCACTCCTTCACGCGTAAATCCTGCCTCGTCTGTAAACAAGACTTTATCGAGGAAATGACGGTCCTGATGGCATTTCATCTGCATCCACTGACAAAACTCCACTCTAGGCAAAAAATCCCGAGGTTTTAGCGCTTGAATTCTTTGCAAATGGTATGGATACAAAAGTTCCTCGTGTAAAATTTCCCATACAACACTTTTGGGAATATTCGTTTGTACTGAAATTCTTCTGGTGCTACTACCTGGATTAGCTTCAATCTGTTGTAGAACAATTTCCTCTGTCTGCGCCGTTCGGGTAGTACGGTTTCGTCCACAATCTCTCTTATTTGGCGTAAAATTACCAGTTTCTCTTAATCTCTGATGTAAACTGCTGAACAGTTTATCAGAAGGAAGCTGGCGATTTGGAAAAGTTTCTTGGTACAACCTCCGAGCTTCCAAAGCACAACCGTTTGCTTTGCCATACATGAAGTGCATGTCGGCCATTTCAGCAAAAGAGTATTCCGGCATTTTTTGAAAGACGAGAACAATGATTTTTTTCAATTACACTGTTATTAACACAATAATAATCGAATAAACTTTATTTTTAAACCTTATGTCAAATTCGTTTACCGTAACTACAGTAATTTGACCTTTTTCCATTTTCAACTTAGCACCGACATAAGCCTACTTTGATGTAGAAATTTTTATTATTGGGCGACCATGCATGCACTATTTTCTTTGGAGAGTATTTTCTCGAAAACGGCTAGCCTGACAGGTTTTCTACAAGAATACCTTTTTTATGTCATTTATACCGCGGAATCAGAATTTCTAAAGAAAACTGCAAAAATATGACGTTTAATAAAAATGTGAACAAATTAAATCGAGGCCTCCCCTGTCGGTACGCCCCTGATTAAAATAATAATTTAGTAAAAACACTGAAAAGTACCTACTATTAAAGGCAATTCATATGCCAAAATTCAGATGGCTATCTGAAACGGTTCCAGAGATATAAAATAAAACCTATATCCCGGTGCAATCTTTGAATCGCCATAGCAACCTTATGACGCATTTGCGGACCTATGTTCATATGAACTTTTCTTCATAGTTTAACATGTAGAATCACCCCTAGAATTATTCGAACGGTATTTCCGGACACCCTGAATTGTGAAAAATTCAATTCTATTACTTTGTTTCCTCTTCAATGTTCTTCCAAAATGCATAGGTTACAAGATATAAGTAAAAATAGGTATATTTTTTAAACACTTTGGCAGTTTTGAAAATGTTCCGGACATCGCCCAGATCTAGGGATCTACACAGAATTTAAATCACCTTTTAATAAAACAAATCATATGCTTTAATCTCTTAAGATTTGGGTAGATTTACGAAATTTAAGCTATTTCCAAAAATATCTACTTACGATTTGACATTTCTAGTGGGAATGTTAAATAACAACGATTTTTCAATAATTTTCAAAGAAAACTGTCTATTGTTCACTAGAAAACCATACCAAAATCTATTCTCAAATTGAGATCAAGCTTGTTAATAAAAAAAAAGATATATACAATACGTACCCTCCCTGGGTGGCACTGGATATACTAAGAGTGAAAATACTGTTGGTATAGCCGTCGCAGTTGCAGGAGTCGGTGTGTCTCCCTCCGTTCCCTGAGGCCCACACGAATATGGAGCCCTTGCCCTTCCTTCCGCTGGTGACGCCGTAGATGAAGGCCCTCCTGGCCAGAGGCCCGGGACCGTCCACGGTCTTGCCGTCGTCCTCGGGGCCCCAAGAGGCGCTGTAGATGTCGATGTGTTCGGGGTTGAGGCCTAGAGCTCTGGCTTCTACGGCGTCGTTGACCACGCCGTCCAACATCCTCACACCTACGGCAAAATAGTCAAGGTCAGGAGAAGGAATGTATTCACTGTTTTGTAACATAACAAAATTGAATCGATGGGAATTATCCCAAAATTAATAATTTTTAGTGCCAGGTTTTTGGAGTCTTTTTTTGCGAGTGTAAAAAATTATTGTAAAATGCAAAGTAATAGATGAATATAGCAATATTTATAGAAAAAACGAAATTTACGAGAAAAACAATGGTAAATGTTTGAAACTATTACCTGATACTGTTATGGATAAAGATAAATTATTAGAAGCGTACAAGTTGTGGAAGGTTAGGTTTTAATTTTTAATATGTTTAATTTTTTCATGAAAAGGAGAGTGATGACAAGATTTTGGATACAGAGCATCTTTATAGCGACGAAGATGAGTTATCATAGATAACTCAGTGGACCTAGTGTATATTTTGTGAATTAAATAAAAACATTCCATCTGTAATAAATCCTCAATTTATATTATTTCGCCTTCATCCCAAATTTCCTGAATAACAAAATTAAAATTGTGGAACATAATTCAATTTTCTCAAAAATATCACATATAGTACCTTTTTGTAGAGTTTTATGCTGTCAGCTTTGGTCCTTAGTATATTTGTGAAATACCTAATATACTTTTCAAGTTAGTCACGAAGTTTTTTTGCAGTTTTCAGGCCATTTTCCGAATATTCCCGGTCCGCTCCCGTGCACTACAATTTTTTTTCCATATCTACTAGCAGAAAACTAGCCATATGCAAAAATTGTGGATTTCGGAATAAATGCTATTTTTAAATACAATTTTGAATAGGGCGATTGAACTGGAAAGTTTCGTGATATTGTCATTCAAATTATGAGCTATGATGATAATGTAAAATAGCGGGCATCGGTAAATTAGTCTGGTTTAAGTCTGTTATAAATTAAAATAATAATAATAATTTGACCTAATCCTCGATAGGTCTGGGTTAAGTTATGTTGAGTTGTTTTTTTTTCTATAACCAACGGAAATGTTTTGAAAGGAAAAACAAAAACTTAGTAACTTTTGCTATATGGTATATTGGTTGAAGAAAAATTGTATACGTACTTCTAATTAAAAAATTAACTTAAACCAATCCAACCTAATATCCAATAGGAAATTTATTGAGGAAAAAAATGAAAAACATATTAAAAAAAAGTTTATTCAATCAATTATGTAATAAATAAGTAAATTCTGAAAAATACTAAGGTGACGGCTCATTAAAATATTTCAGAGACTACTTCGATTTCAATTTTGAAAGTTTAAGCTTTCGGGTTTTTGGGGGTGCTCTCTTCATATAAAACAATGCCATTGTTGTATCACTTCCGGTTATAACGGTAGTCGCCACCTACTTGCTTATTTTAAATTGAACACCCTGTATATTTTTTGTATATTTGGATCCTACGTGTAATCTTAGGGGGACTCTTATCAAGCTTCCCTATATCTATCTCTAATGGTCATCGATTCAATTCTTTCAAAAAAAATGTTGCTTTTCGATAGCCGTTGTAGAATTTTACTCTCTATCCATATTACACTTCCATTAACCTATCTCTTTTAATTTTTCTGTTATTGACGGTTTTTGTGATAAGTAATTAAAATGATCCAATTTCTTTCGAGGATGGCTGTGAAATTGTTAGCAAACTTAAAAACAAAATAACCAATATTAGTCCAGAGAACGAAGAGAAAAATAGGGTAAAACCTCGGAATACTTTCGGATAGATCCGATTTATATGAAAATTTGGAATTAAGTTTATTTCATCCTGTGGATGAAAAGTTATATATGCTTGATATGCGCTTCTTATTTTTAGGGGATGAAAACTACCCCTTATGAATAAATAATAAAAACTGAATAAATATAAAAATAGGTGTTATCATATAAAATCATATCTTAATATATATAATAAATATTGTTTTATATTATGGGTTATAATTTACGTTATTTTTATAGTTTCAACCCTTAAAAACCATCCTTAATGATAAAAATATAAAATTAATAGTTTCTTTGACCTTAAAAAAATATTTTTAAAGCTCATATATTATAGATGGAAATCTTTTCAATAGTTTATGGTATTATAAATAATTCATTACAATATTTAAACTCTTAAAAAACTACCCCTAACAACAAAATATTAAAAAAAATAGTTTTTAACAGTTTAAAATGATTTGATAGTGCAAACAGGATAAAATAAATTCTTTTACCTGTTTATAATACAATTTATAATTTATCGCATTGTTTTAAACAATTTAAACCCTTAAAAACTACCCCAATGACACAATATAAAAAAATGTTTTTTAAATTATTTAAAATGTATTATAATACCCTCATATAGTGTTTATCAGATCACTGGGTTTCTTAAAAATCAGTTTTCATTATAAAAATAAAAACATTCTATTTATATAGAATGTCCAATCCAAAGTTGTGGATAACCAAAATATTGATATGCTCCGAAAATTGAAGCGGTAAGGTATCGTTGGTTTTTTAACGATATCTTCCTTAATTTTTATTTAAAGTTATTAAGACGACCCAAAAACGATTTTGCGGAAAATTTCGACAGCTAAAAGTACTGTAAAATTAAATATTTTTTAATGCGTTATTTTTCAGATTTTTGAGGTTAAAAGTTTTGAAAAACATGACTTTTCGCAAACTTCTAGCAGCGACATATCTGTCAATTTTTATCCTACACAAATAAAAAAAAAAAGTATTCTGTGAAAAAATTTCAAACTTTTGTACTCTTGAATACATATGTTTTGTATCTTCTTTTATTTTTAAAGTAATATTTTTTTTTTGGAATTAAAAAACATTTTTTTTCAATCGTAATATTTTCAAAAATATGCTTTCTAAACCGCTTAAACTTGTATAATATATTGTTAGCACATAAAAAATGTAAATTGTAGAAGGATTACCGTTAATTTTAAATCTCGTGAAAATTCATCAGTTTTAGTACCTACTGATTTTTTTTCCGAAAAAGCGAATTAACAGTTTTATTTTGATCATAACTGTTAATTTTTATGCTAATGACTTAAAGTCAAGTTCATTTTAAAGATTTCTTAAAGTACTTTAAAAAATTTTCTGTGCATTTTTCTTGAAAAATTGAATCTTTTTTAGTTATTTTCAACCAGCCTATTGCACCTATATAAATGAAAAATAACTTAATCTTTTTCTTTCTCTAGGTATAAGCGTCATTTCCTTTGTGATATTTTTTTCATGGAATTTCTATTTTCAGAGTTATTCGAGAAAAACTACTGAAAAACGTATTTTTTTTTAAATAAAAAATGTACATTTTCAATCACCAATAACTCAGAAAATATTGACTTATCGAAAAATATTCATACGGCACTTTTTGCTCAAAATTGATTGCTTTATCGATTCCTGGGGTTATTTCAATATTTTATTTTTCACCCTCTAGAAGGAGTGGCTTTCACCCTCTGGGAAAAAGCGCTCAACGGTACTATATAACTTTTGTTTCTTGAGCTATTTTCTACTTACAGTCCAAGTTCCCTGGGCTATATGTCATCATATTAAAGAGAGCATTACCGAAAACTCCAAAGCCTAAATTTTTAAAATTGAAATCGAAGTAGGTACTCTCTGAAATATTCTAATAGGGCGGCCACCGTAAGACAGCCTGTTTACAAAGAACATACTAGAACAAAAATATTTCCTGGGGGGTCAGTCGAATTGATAATATAATTTCTGGATTATCTCTTATCTATGACTTATCAATCTAATTCACAAAATGTATGCAATAAAGTTAAATTTTTTTCCGGAAGAGAACATTTTAATTAGTTTTAATTTGTTGGTCACTTAGCTTTCAGTTATTTTTATTCTTTAGTTATTATAATAAATTACATGTGGGGTATTAAAAAATCAATGCAAGTTTGATACCTATGTTGAATTCCAGTCGAGAGATTATCGGATAAGTGTAAATAGTAGTGACATAAATCTATTTGTACGAACCTTAGTTCCAGCGAACTCGATTTCTGCAGCGAATAATCCGCTAAAAAAAGAACCCGCGTGTTAACTTTATCTCCGCTTATAATTTATACGAAAAGTTTGATTAAAACTCCCCTCGGCGGGTAAAGATGTGGAGGTTCCCGTCCGGCAACGTAAAATATTTAAATTTGAAGTAATTCCATCTTATATAATCCGTAAAACTGCACATTACGTTTTATATTATAAGATAAGGAGTTTCCACTTTTGATTTTATTGTCGGAAATTTAATTTTCACCCGCGATTTCCGCAACGATTTAAATCCAATACCGCAGATAAGCCCGAGCGATTATCGGCAATTTATGGTGTTTTAAGTAGGAGGGATACCGGTATTGTCTTTAAAACTAAATCCCTGTTTATTCGACGTCCGTTAAATTAACAATGGATTGATGCTCCGGCGCGTTTAAAAATTATCTTTTAATCCGAGGCCTTGTGATTTGGAGAGTGAATATGTGTCCATTGTTTGATATACGGCGATGATAGATTCGTGTCCAGCGATGACGAAAGGCGGTTCGAGGGAAACTACGGCTTTAGAGGATCCAAAGTCCCCGGATTCGTTGTGATAAGAATGCGCGGATCGACAGAAATTGATGGATTAGTAACATTGTCCTTATCGCGTTATTTCCCAACAAGCGACAGAAACGGAGGACCTGACATTGGTAGGGACCAAATATTATCATAGACAAAAATAAATGGATTGTGTTAGCGAATTGCTTCTTTGAGTAAGCACACATGAGCTGTTACCGAAATTTTCCAGACAGATTTCAGTTTCAATATATATTCATTAAGTAGTTAGTAACCTTTCGGGGGGCGCATGGAGTCCCAAAGGGACTACTTTCACATTTTTGGGTTTAAACGTGCTAAGATAAAATGTAAGAAAATAATTAAAGATAAATCTGTTGTGGTTCCTGGTGTGGTGTGACACATATAACAAGATACAGGGTGTTTCAGTTCGAGTGAATCAAACTTTATCTGACCACAAATAGAACTAAACTAATATCTCAAAATCAA